TTCAGTCTGTCAACAGGCCCACAGTCAAGTCTCTTCACCTTGGAATGTCCTGAGCACTCAAGATACTGGGTGGGGCTTACCTTTTTTTTTTAAATCATTTTTTTAGGGGCTCATACAACGCTTATCACAATCCATACACACATCAATTGTGTAAAGCGCATTTTTACATTCATTGCCCTCATCGTTCTCAAAACATTTCCTCTCCACTTAAGCCCCCGGCATTAGGTCCTCATTTTTAATGCAGTTTTTGTGGTAAAATTAGGTACCTCAGCTGATATTTGAGTCAACTTATACTCGAGTATATATGGGGTATTTTTCTGTGTGTTATTTCTTGTTGGTTTTTTTGAGTATGATTTTCTTTATATGAAATCCAGTACAGGTAAATCTGTAGAGTTTAAATTAGAGATTAATAGTTCCTTAGGGTTATGACTTCTTTTTTATTGCCTCTAGATTTACCTATCCTTGACTCCTAGTAGTACAGTCATTACCCTATAATCGTTACTGGGTTGCGAGGTCGACTGTTCAAAACCACCATTCACTGCGAGGAGAAAGATGCTTTACACTCCCATAAAGAGTTAATCTCAGGAAACCCACAGAGACAGTTTTACCCTGTGCTATAGGGTCAATGTGAGACAAGATCAGCTCCACGACAGTGCATGAGTTGAGTAGGGTTATGTCAGGGGCGTTGGGGGTGCAATGAGATAATAATAATGGTTACTCAAACCGAAAAATTAACCAGTTGATTCTGATTCATAGTGATATTGTAGGACAGGGTAAAACTGCCTCTGGGTTTATAAGGCCATCACTCTTTAATAGATGGTGTGTGTCCTGGTTACATATCAGGCTACTAACTGAGGTTAGTTGTTTAAAACCACCAGCCACTCCATGGGAGGTAGACAAGGCTTTCTACTCCCTCAAAGGGTCTTGGAAACTCACAGGTCCAGTGCTGTCTTGCTTATAGAGTCACTGTGAGACTGAGTCAGCTCAGTGGCAGTAATAATTGGGACAAGAATGAAGAAATGTTTTAAAATTGCTAGTGATGATGATTACATAGCTCTTGTTAATATATTTAAACCATTGAATTGTTTTAAATTATAGGTGAATTATATGCCAATAAAACTTTAAAAATAAGAAATACACTGGATAAAAGAAGTATGGACTATAATCCGCTTTTAAGAATATAGTTGGTTTCTTTACCTTTTGGGGAATGCTTGCATAATTGAAAAAGTCTTTGTTCTTGTTTTAAAAGTAGCTTTGAGTGAGGTAGTTCGGAATATATGGAGTCAGATTTTTAGATTGATGTGTGTAAGAGTATTGAATAGTGGGTTAAGATGATCCATAAATGGATTGAGTCAATGAAAGTAATCATAATTATTTATGATTTCTACCCAAATAAGCTGAAATATAGATTGGTTGTCATATCCCTTTTTGGAAGAAAACATAGGAAAATGAAACCACTTTGGAAAGTGTATCTCCAACCAAACTCTATGCCACTGAATGGATTTCAGCTGATATAGTGACCCTGCAAAACAGTACAACTCTCCTCTTGGGTGCATCTGAGGCATTGAGTCTTATAGGAGCAGACCACCTCGTCCTTCTCCTTGGAGCAGCTGACCTGGGGCTTAGCAGCTCACTGTGCCATCAGAGCTACTCGACTCAGATTTAGATTTTATGTATGCCGTATTGAAAGAATACATACTTTGAACTTTTTATCCCCCATTATAGTGACTATTCTAGATTTCATACCCTTATTCTGTACTTTAATTTCCCAGAGTGCTTTTTATGATTTGGGGCCTACTTTTTAAAGTTCTCTTTTCACTTACGTCAAGTATAAAATTACTATTATTCAGTCCATCTCATTGGGGAGGAGTTGAGTTTTAAATATCTTAATACATCTGCTAAACCTCAAAGAAATAAAATGTTTCTTTCAGTCCTTTACCTTTTTTATATCTGAAGTTTTCTGCTTGTGTAACCTTTTCTCAAGAATCATAAGGCCAAATGGAGTTGTGCAAAGAAGTAATTTTCAGTTAACCACCACTAACTGTTAATAAAGCGGTCTGATAGTAAAATGATTAAAGTTTAGTGTTGGGGGTTTCAGAGCTTGTTGTATAATGTAGTGACTAGAACCCTTCCAGTTTCAGTATTCCCACCCTCTTTTACATATAAGGTTACTTGGCATTAGTATACTTAACAAACAGTTTAATGTCTACATAATTTTTTCCTCTTTTGTTATACAGGCTGCTTTTGTTAGAGATGTTTTATTACCAGGAGAGTGGGATGTGTGTGTAACCTCTTATGAGATGCTTATTAAAGAGAAATCTGTGTTCAAAAAGTTTAATTGGAGGTACTTAGTCATAGATGAAGCTCACAGGATCAAAAATGAAAAATCTAAGGTAATATTGAATGTGAAACTCTTTGTATATCTTTAAAATTTTGATAAAATGTATGCAGACTATTTAAATATCACTTTTTTTTTTTAGTTGTCAGAAATAGTGAGGGAATTTAAGACTACAAATCGACTATTGTTAACGGGAACACCACTTCAGAATAATTTGCATGAATTGTGGTCACTTCTTAACTTTCTCTTACCAGATGTCTTTAATTCAGCTGATGTAAGTACTTTTTGTCTTCTTGGTACAATCATGGGGATGTTTTGTCTAATACTACATAATACATTTTCATTTGTCTATGCAGTTATCCTAGCATTACCTATTATAATTTCTATAAATTACTATTGCGCCTTTTGGCTTTAAACTCATTTTAAGTAATTGTTGCTCTGGAATGGCACAGGTCTTTATTCCTATTTGATATTCATGTTGGCCTCACTTTGTTTTGGTTGACTGCTCATGTTTTTAAGGTGCTGTTCAAAAATATTTAAGTGAATTTACCAGTTTTAAGTCCAGCTTTCCTTAAGATGGCCTTCAAATTTGGTGAAATTAGGCTAACCATTTTTTAAACATCATTTCATAATAATTTTGTCTTTCTAGGTTGTTTGCTAGAGTTTAATTTTGAGCCTTTGTATGTGTGTCTATGTCTGTCTCATTTGTCAGTCTTTTGGTCCCCCCTTGAAGCGTTTCCCAGCACTACATTTATATAAAAAGTTCTGAAATCTTTTCGACTTCCTCTCTATCAGAAGTTCTGAAACTATACCATTCTCTCTCTTTGTAGTTTTCTTGATTACAAATTGCTATCTCTGGCTTACTATTTTCAGTCTTGCATATTTGTTGTACTCTGGACACAGTTGATGTACATCTTCAAAGAGTGGACTGCCTGATCTCTCACTAATGGTGATGGTGGTTTCAGAATACTGAGCCAGTGTGTCACCCACTGTTTTCATTCACTTCCTGTCCACATGAACGTTAGTTGTTGAATAAGGAAGACCAAAGAAGAATTTGATGTATGGTGATGGTGAAAAATACTCAGTGTACCCAGGACTGTCAGAACAAACAAATCTTTCTTGGAAGTATAGCCAGAAAGCCAGGATGGCCAGACTTAGTCTCCCTTTAAAGAAGAAAATTATTCTAACTTCTGTTTACCTGGAAAATGCTCTCTGTTTGCCATCGTATTTGAGGGCCACTTTTGCTGTGTATATGATTCTTGGTTGGCAATTTCATTTTTCTCTCAGTTTTGTCTGCTATCACATTGTATGGTTTCAGCTGAGAAGTCAGAATTTAGTCTTTCTGGTTCCCCTTTGTAGGTTTCCTGAGCTCAGAATTCTTTCTTTGTTTTTGGTTTTAGAAAGTTTGATTATGACATGTCATGATTTTCTTTTGAGGTTTATCCTGTTTGGGGCTCTTTCAGCTTCTTGAATGCATATCTTACTGTATTTCATGAGATTAGGAGTGTGTTCTTAAAATATTCTGATAATTTCTGAGATTAGGAGTGCTTTCTTAAAAATTTCCGATAATTTTCTTTGTGCTTTTTGTTATCTATTCCTGTTCTTGAATTCCAATCACAAATACATTATTCCTTTGATGGTATCCTATATACGTCTTAGGTTTTCTTCAGATATTTTCATTCTTTTTCTGATTGCTTCTCTAACAAATTAGCATTGAGAGATTTGTCTTCAAGGTCACAAATTCAACCAGAAGTTCAATCCTTAAACCCAGGCAGATAAGTGACTTCTGTGGAAAAGAGGGTGTCATTGGCTGCTGGGTGAGGGTTGGACACGCTTCTGATCAGTAGGAGGATATAGGGAACAAGAGAGGATCCCACTTTCTCCTGGCCAGCCACCAGTGTACAAGTGTGGCCACAGTCTTGAATTCTTATTGCAAAAGCTCAGAATGGCAATGATGTGTCAGGCGTGCTAGCAGTTCACCAGTTTGTCTCCTTTCTGGCTGTTTTTATTTTATTCAACTTCTCCTAGTTGATATTCAGTCCACTTCTCTATCCTTTCCTCTGAAGCACAGGGTTCCAAGATTATTATCTGTAGCTGTTTCATTAGGTCACTTGTGTCTTTGTTGTAGATGGTCTGTAGCATGACTGCCTAATTGGCTGTCTTGCCTGAAGTTGAATCTCTACCAAGTTCTGAAAAATTAGTCATTGTGTAAGGATCATTCTTGTAAGAATGAGAATTTCCTATTTTAGAAAAACTATTAATCAAAAATCTGCTTTTACTACATATTTTGTTTGGTATTTTGGGTTACGAGATTTTTTTTCTTACTACAATGATACTTTAATATATTTAATAATCTGTTAGTGCTTTGTCTTTGAAAACATAATGAATTATAAGATAATGCAATCTAATAAATGTTTGTTTAGAAGATAATAGGTAGGGAAAGTTTCCTTATTCAAGTACTCAATTATTGCCCTGTGGGAAACCTTGTGTTGATAGTGGGCTTAGAAAACAGACTAAATGTTTTCGTTTAATTTTTAAGCTTTCTGTGAGAAAGGATATTTTTCAAAAATAATTTTTAGTTACGTATGAAACTGGCTTTGCAACTGGATTCTTTTCAGTGTAAAACTTGTCATGTTGGTGTTTGGGGTAAAGTGTTTAGGAATTATGATTTCTTTAAACTACTGTTTCTAAAATTTGTTGTTAATAATATAATACTTTAAAAAGAGCTTATAAGAAATTATTTTTGTGACTTATCTCACCACAAGAAGTTTAAGCTATATATAGAATTCAAGAAGTATAAGCTATATAGAGAGTATGAGAGTACAGTTAAAATTATCTCTCTCTGATCTTAAGATGGTTTTTGCTGGTTAATTTAGGACTTTGATTCCTGGTTTGATACAAACAACTGCCTTGGGGATCAAAAACTAGTTGAAAGACTTCATATGGTAAGTTAACCTCTTGTGTGAAAATGGTAGAGAGTTAGTGCTCTTTTTTTAATAACTGCCACAAACAATAGTAGAATGATTGAGACATTGGTTTTTAGATGTTTGAATCCTGCCAGCTAATTTTTAAAAACATTTCCCCCTGTTCTAGTCTGCTTCTATTTTTCTTTTAGTCATCTTATATTCAACTTTTGATACATTACAATTATTCCATTGTCAGTTTTCTGTTAACAATCATGCTAATCCCATCAGTTCTTTGCTATTTTTAAAAAAAATTAAAACATCATTTTATTGGGGACTTTTACAACTCTTATAACAATCCATATATCAGTTGTATCCAGCATATTTGTACATATATTGCCATCATTCTTTCTTAGACATTTACTTTCTCTTGAGCCCTTGGTATCAGCTTGGGTTATTTTTTTGGTGGTGTTTTTTTTTTTTTTTTTT